GCCGATCGGCAATGTTTACCGCCGGATTTCTTTGGATTTTCCCCAAAATGCCTTATCCTTTGATGGCAAGGGTTTTTACTCTATGAGCCTTGTGATGGTAAAGTGTTAAGTCCCCATGAGCATGCTGAACATTCTTGGTGCAGGTAGTTTTTGGTAGGTGTTTTGGTGTGGATTGCTCCATCTTTAAAATCAAACGTCTTTTGCCCTTAGCTGTCCTCCCTCTTTTCTCTGTGTGTTACACTATAGTATAGTTAATCCTTTATTCTTCTGCACTTATATTTTGACCATTTGTGTTGCAAGTACCGTAAAACTCTTACTAAAAAACACTCTTATTTGTCCATCAATTCAATGATGACTGTCTCAATAGTTACATCATTCTCTTGTGTGGGTGAGGAGATGGATGTTCGGACCAATCCACAATCTGCAGATGCAGGTGTAATGAAGGCAGTATGTATGTGTGTCATCGCGGTAAAATCAGGCTGTCGTCAAAATTATGAAATTGAAGAAACTGACATTTTTCCTCCCTTGGAAAATTTGTATCGATTTAATTTTTTTTTTTTTTTTGCTTTACATCTTTTATATTCAAAGATAAATAGGGCCTACTATCTGTCCTTCACCAGGGCAGTGCTACTGACTGAATTGTCTTTGGGCCATTTCCAAAGGGGGAATATTAACATGTTCTTATGCACAGTAGAATTATAAATGGGCTGATAAAATTTATCAATGTCATGCTCATACATGTACTGTGCCAGAACAACATAGGGGGAACTGCTGCTTTTTCTTTCCTCTTCCTTACTATCGTCGTTTTTCCTCTACTTCTGTATGTTTGTCACTCTCTTGTGAACTGCTACTTCCAGGGTGCCTGATGATCGAAGTAGACTTTGTGAAGGCTAGAGAGGTGAGCAGAGTAAGCCTGATTCCCTGTAAGGACTTCTCTGTTGACATAAACCCCTTTGCGTTCATATGACCTTATGCAGTTGTGAGCGCCGTAAAACCTTACTAAAACAAAAAAAAAACCACTTTTTGGGGGCTATCATGGCTTGAGGTTAAGGTGTTTGCCTCTCATTCAATATGTCCCGCGTTCGAATCTGGATAGCTCTAGAAATTTTTTATTATCTAAAAATGTTCTCCTTTCTGCTCTTTTCCTGCCCTCTAACAATATTCTGTCTTCTGCTTTCATCTCTACTTTCTACCCCTACCCCCTCACCTCCTTTGCCCCCTCCTCTGGGCTCCAAACTTTTTCTGCAGCCTTTCTACTGTTACTCCTTGGCTCCTTACTGTTATCTTTCAACCACACCCCTGGTCTTATGGGAGGAAAGATCTACACCTTGCCTTCTTGGACAAAGGCGAAAAATCTCGGAGGCCCGGTGTGCAAGTTGCGCACGTTCAAGATTCCTTGGTTGTCCAAAATCGATAAGACTAGGCGTCCGCCGCCACCTGGGCAACAAAAAATTTCCTACCAACTGAAAATGTTAGGTGTGTCCCGCGCACCCATATGACCGTTTTATGCACTTGGAAACGCCGTAAAACACTTTATAAAAAAAAAAAAAGAAAAAAAACTGGATGTCCGTCGGGGTGCTTTTGAAGATTTGGCCACCAGCTTCCACCATTCCTTCCGATGTTCAGCTTTCCTGAGCATGTCTTTGAGTTCCAGGCCTGTCCATTCCTTGATGTTGTCCTCCAAACTCTTGTTCGATCTGCCTCTGCTCCTTTTTTCCTGGACGCTGCCTTACAGGATCATATTTCAAAAAAACTTTTTTGGAGTCCTCAAATACGTGGTGCTCCTGTTGGTGTTGGAGGTAGCCTACTTTTCCATGATGATTATCAGGTTGAACATACTATGTTCAGTTGTGCTGCGCCCTTTCCTGAAGCCTGCCTGTTCTTCTGCTATGGTTTTCTCTGCTTGTGGCTTCAGTCTGTTTAGAAAGAATTTAAGCATTACTTTACTAGGATGGCTAATCAGGCTAATACAATGTAGTACGATAGTTTTGGCATTGTTGAAGATTGCCTTTCTTGGGAAGGGTGATGATCAAAGATTGAATCCATGTTGTTGGCCATTCGCCTGTGTGCCAGATCTTGTTGCAGATTATCCGTAGCATGTCTATCACCGAGTCTCCACCTGCTTGAACTAGTTCTGCTTTGATGTTGTCTATTTCAGCTGATTTCCCTTTCTTCAGTGATGAGACTGCTGCTACTATCTCTTCTCTTAAGATGCTGTTTTTGTCATTGTCTTGTGACTGGGAGACATTGAGCACTCGTGGATCTCCTGTGGTTTTGAGGGTGTACAGTTCAGAGTAATATTCTGTCCACCGGATCTGAACTTTTTGTTCCTCCGTTAGACATTTCACGTCTTTACTTACTTCCTTCTATCTAAACACAAAAATAAAAGACGCACTAACATACTGGATGATATAATATCCGGATTTGAAAAAACCCTCA